GGGGCAGGCGGGAATCAAACTCAAGCAGAAGTGGCTTTAGCTTGTTAGTGCTGTGCTTTCACCTGCTGTGCCACCAGGGAGGGTCCCTCACCATGTATTCTTAATGATTATTTGTTCTTTTGGTAACTTAATTAGCTCCTGAATTTATTTTTATTGCTTTATCTTTTTTCTTTCTTTGTATATAATATACTCTTTTTGACTGCTAAAGCACAAGGCTAGACCATTGATTTGAAACTGTCTTAGTTTGTCACACAAGCATTTAAGGTACCATTTTCACCTTAAGAACTGCTTTGGATGAATCCCTCAAATGTTAATGTGTTCTCTTCAACCATTCAGTTGAAATTATTTTCTTATTTCTTTCTTTGATTCATGGGTTATATAGAAGTATGTTACTTACTGGCCATATATTTGGGGTTTTTCCAGGAGGCTTTTTCTCATTGATCTTTAATTTCATTTCACTGTGATCAGAGAACATATTTTGCATAACATCAATTCTTTGAAATTGAATAGACTTGTTTTATAGTCCAGTACCTAATCTATTTTAGTGAATATTCATGTTTACTGAAAATTCCAAAGCAGAATACAACAAGTGTCAGTAATTCTTCTTTGTGCTCTGCTCTACAGATTTAGTGAATTTTTGCCGAGTTTTCTAATAATTGCAAAAAGAATTATTAACATCGCCAGTTGTATCTATGAAAATATCTATTTTTCCCTTCCATGTAATCAGGTTGCTTTGAAGCTCTTATATTAGAGTCACGCATATTTAATATGATATCTTCCTGATCAATTGATCCTTTCATCAATGTAAAATAGGCTCTTTTTATCTGGATGTCAGGATGTTTTTGTGAATGTAGATTATGTGTCCTCCTCCTCCAGACCAGACCTATGGACTGGAAAGGAAGCTCTGCTACCCCAGAGAGAGCTAACACACTAGTAACACAACAAGGGGCTGCAGAGGTCTCTTTCCCACAAAGTAACAGTTTCCCACCTACCCAGCTGCTGCAGCTGCCCTATGTCTTCCTTTCCTGACTGACAAATAATCTGATAGGGAAGGAAAGAAACAATACAAGCAAACTGCTGCGAGAATGAATAGGCATGAACTAACAGGAATCAGAAGAAAACCTTAGAGACTGGACTTTTAAGTAACTGATTTTTTTTAAAAAGGTGGTAAAACGAGATATACAATAATTCATTGAACTTGATGCACCTTCTTTGAAACACTGGATTTTACATGCCAGCAAGTATGCTAATGGATCAGTTAAGGTCACTGCTAGGGTTGATCTTAGATACTTGGTAAAAGTAATGGCCAACTCTCTGCATGGTGAAAATCCCAGGGCAGCTGTGGTGGGCAGGAGAGGGACTCCAAAATACAGCAGCAATTAAATACTCTGAGTATAACCTGTTCATCCACAGAATAATTTTGAGATTGTACACTGGTTAAAGATATATTAGGTAGTTATCACTCACATTCAGAAACAAAGCTTTACAAGTAATAAGTAGAGTTATAGACAACATCCAGCTCAAAGTGAGTTTATATGGTTTTTATATCCACCCAGTGACAATTCCAGATTCCCTGAGCGCATGACATAAATCGATATACTTGGATGCTAGAGTACGCAACTGAAAAGGGGGAAGGCCACCCAGCCTCTTCTTCTGACATATATAAGCTACATGAATTATCCCACTGTTAAGGGGAAGGATGACCTAAAGGAACTCTGCAGTCTTATGGACTCCACCCCCTCCTCCAGCTTTCTGGACCCTACACATTACTCCAGTGATTGAAAACTACAACTCCCAGCAGTACCAGGGAGAGAACCCCAAGGACCCAAGAGCGGAGCTAGCAGGAATGAATTCTGGGACATTTGGGGGATAAATAGGGCGCGATTGAATCTGGCACTCTCGCTTGGGAAACAGCTCTCCGGACTGCGTGACTTGGTGTGATCAGTCAGCCTAGCCGTAAGGTATTCCACTTATTTTGTATCCTGCTCTTTCCCTGGGTTGTTTCCTATTCCTTTCCCCCTTTGTAAATAAACCCGTATTGACCCTTTTGTATGTACCTGCAGGGTAACTGAGTTGTGAGCCCGCAGTTAAGACACCACAGACAGGCGGCCCAGTCCACTCGGGGCTACCCTGTAACACCACCACTTCTGTTTACTTTTTTTATTTTTAGTCATTTTATTTCCCTCTGAGTTTCTGTATTTTTCCTCAGCTTTTCTGTTGGAGAATTTTTCATTGCATACATTATGTCTTTCAGTCCAAGAATTTCCATTTGGATCTTTTTATAGTTTCTATTTAACATCTGAAATTTCCCATATGTTCCCTCATTATATTTAATTTCTTTAACAGTTTCTTAAAGCTGTTTGAAAATCATCCATTTATACTATTATCTCTGTAATCAGTAGACCTACTTCTATTTTTTTCCTAATTGTAAGACATTTTCCTGACTCCTTATACATGTTGTTCATTTACATACTTATAAATACATTTACACATTACATATATTATTGTATGCTGGACAAAAGATATAAAACTGGATTTTGTTATCTTCCTTCAAAGAGCATTGTTCTGGTAGACAATGATAGGTTAGCTTCAGCCTTTCAAAGCTTACATTTAAGAATTTTAAAGGCATATCCAAAACAGTTCCTGGTTTATCAAAGATTTAAGCTGAAAGTACAGAGCATTCAGTAAGGTTCCTCCTTTTGTAACAGGATGATCCCCAGGAAAAGGGGAAGTTCCAGGTTCCCTGCCCCATCCAGGAGGAGGGTGGAGCTGAGCAGAGAGAAGAAATCTGATGAAGAAGGAAGCAGGATGGAGAGCCAGAAGGAGACCTGAGGAAGCCACATGGTACAGAGAAAGACATATGAAGAAACCGTGCTTGCTTCTGGTACTGGACTGGGTGAAATGGATATGGGTGAGAGACCCATGGGAAGGTTTACTATGGCAGTGTTTATATTAATTTTGATTTTGTTCTTTTCCTCCCAGACGTGTCTAGCCCTGTCTGACCCTTTCTTATTGGCCCCTGCCAGAAGATGCTTTAGGCTTGTGGTGGCGGGCTTTCAGGCCTTGCTTTGGATCAATCCCTTTTGAGTGGGTTTTTGCCCATGAGGGGATGGGTAACTTTCAGGTGTTTGATTTAGAAATTATATTCTTTGTCTTCTGTGTTGTATACTCACTGTATTCAAGTTCCTTTTCATTAAAGTCTTACATGTTTTGCCTTGATGCAGCGGATGGCAGAACCTATTAAGAGTAGGCAGGTTTGGGGGTTTAGTGATGCCTTTCTCCCTGCCCTGTAACAAATTCATTATGCAATTGATCTGTTACTAAACAGGTTATTCCTTGATTACTGATTAACTTCTTGACTAGTTTTCTGTCACTCTGGTAATATTAAGATTTTGTATCAGAACCTTGGAAAACATTCACTAGTGATTCATCCAGATAAATGGAAATATTATTCTTAAAGATTCAGTTTTAAAATGAAGGCTGACTGAATATAACCCAAGTGTACTCATTTTATAGTATGAGTTTCTTTACCACAACCTCTGAGAATTACAGAAAATATATCCTGAAATTTTTTTTTCATGAAATGAATTATAATAGTATTTTATATAGCTGGAAATTTAATAAGTAGTGTATTTTTAAACACAGGCCACAGTCTTAAAAGAAGAAAATTCAAAAACACAAAAAAAAAAACACAGTTTACCAAAGAGCGGAACATCAAAGAGCAAGAGTGAAAAACATTTTTCAACTGCCATAACAGAATACGAGAAGTTCAGCCTGTCATCAACCTCTACTTAAGTATAGAGGAAGGTTTGTATTATCACAGGGTGAGAATGGAGTAAAGCCTGAGATCTATGAAAGGATGTGTTATGATTCAAATTCACTGGGAGTGAATGGCATGTCTGACACACACAAAAAGCTACTAAAAACACTATCAGGCTTTTCCTCTGGGCAAATGGGTACCTCACTCTGAGCACAGCAATTATTTATCTTTGGACAAGAAGAAGCTTAGCTACCTCTAAAGATTCCTGCAAAAACATAGGCTGTCTGATTGTCTTAAGTGTAGAATAATTCACAAATATAAGAATGGCTTATTAAAACAAAATATAATACAAATCCAGTTCTAAATAGAAAGCATTATTTAAAAAAAAGAGAGAAAAGGGAATTTTTGAGAAAGCGGTATACATTGAATACACATTTTCATTATTAGCATATATGCAAAATATTTACTACCTATTATGCTCCAAACACTGTTATTTGATACATATCAACCGAAGATACATTATCCTCACTTTTATAAAGTTAGAAACAAATTACAATAGTCACCAAAAGTGTAAGTGGTGGAGCAGGCTTCCAATGCCTACCAACTCCAAAATCCCAGCTCTCCTACCACTGCATGCTGTACTATGCAGCTAACATTTGCATTTAAAGGAAACCAACTCATCTTGAAAATTTTTGTCTGAATTTTCCGGGATGTACAACAATCTTACAAACTAAAAGAAAAAGTGTAATATAAAAGTAAATGATATTATTAAAGTCAAAGAATAAACATTCTTAAAGTCTTTTTTTTTTAAGCTAATGTAACTTCTTTCAAAGTGATGCTTCATTTTTCCAAAGGTTCAACCTAAGAAAAAAAAAATATTTTAAAAACCCTCTAGCTTTTAATGTACTGATAAGTGTGAAGCTACACTGATACTGCAGCTCGATGGAACAGTCAATAATTAAAAAATAATAGCTATAATATAATCACCTATAAAGACAACAATGATCATTATCATCTCTACCCTGCTCTATCACACCACATCCAAATTTAAGCTTAAATTAATTGAATTAAATTATAAATTAATTCCTCATTTGCACTAAGTGTAGAAATTCCTAACTGCAAATGTGACTAGCAGCTACCTGTACTGGATAGGGCAAATACAATATCACACTGAGTTCACTAGCCAGCACAGTCTTAGGACAACTAAAGGACAACTTTAGGTAGGAATTATAAATTCTTTACTTGTTTTTTATTTATTTATTTTTTTATTTTTTTATTTCGTGTGATTGTGTTGGGGAAGGAAAGGGAAAGTAAATTCAAAGTCATCCAGTGTGTATGTCTCACCCTTGTCGAACTCCATTTTCACTCTGCTCTCTCTTTCTATGAACTTTGAGCAACTGGTAAACATGTTAAGTACCTTCAGGATTTAGTATCTTCATATAAAATGCACCATTTTCCCAGAGCACCTTACTAAACTCACTGCTTCACTGTTAATTCAGACATATTTTAGTTAAATTCCTCTGGAAATAAGTTTCGGAACACTGTCACAGCAAATCCATTGGCATGACCAGCCTCTTCGCTAGCAACAATGCGTATACTGCCATGTGTGTGCTACAGTATGCTTCTGTTTCACTTCTCCAGCATCCAGCCAGTAGTCCCTGGCCTGAACTTACCTTTGTAGAGCAATCACAACATAGTGTCTGATACACACTGTGATAACTGTACATGTTAAAAAAAGAACAGCTTTACCAAAAACATTCAGCCATAGCCAAGTTGCTTAACACCAACTGAAAAAAACCCATTATATACCAATAAATATTAGTAGCTTACCCTTTGAGGTCATTAATTAATTTGTTTTTTTCCTGGACTATTCGCTTGTGGTGCATTCGGTGAAAATCACGCTCTTTCTGAGATTTCAGCAGGTCCTCTCTAGCTTTGCTATTAAAAAATGACAACAACAGTTAACAACTTTAAAAATCATCGTTTAGGGCCCTCCCTGGTGGTGCAGCAGGTTAAAGCACAGCACTAAGAAGCTAAAGCCACTTCAGTATGAGTTCGATCCCTCCCAAAAGGTGACCACATGGCATGACCGGCCCAGAGATCCCCTCAGCAGTGTACTGTCTGCCTGTTCTGCTCCCCTCTCTGTCTCGGGTGAATCCTCTCACCCTTCCTGCACCTCTGGCCTGTACCCTAGTTCTATATGCATAAATAAATAAATCTTTAAAAAAAATCATCGTTCATTCCTTTCTGAAACATTAGTCATCAGTTCAAATATGGTTTTGAATAATTTAAGTGAATTGAAAAACAAATTGGCATAATTCTCACTGGAGGACTAACTAACATAGTTTATTTGGAAGTGGGAGATAAATGGGACAAAAGCAATAGTTCCAAAAATATCATTTATTCACATTTTATTAAGTAAAGAGAAATTAAATGTCTGCTTCATAGTAACTTATATTTCTTCTACTTCCAAATAGAATGTTTACAAACACACAAACAGAATAATTAAAGTTAATTACAAATAGTAGAAAATACTTTGTGAACTCTAACTCTAAGCTTGTTTTTAACACATGATTAAATATAGTTAGTATGTAGGGTTATTTAATTTTAAAAATTGAGGAAAAAGAATGAGTTTTGGAAAACAAGGACTTAATTTTGGTAATGCATATGAGAGAAATATACCATCTGCACATCATATTACTAGAAGTGGCAACTTGATAACAAAGTTCTTAAAATGTCAGCATTATAAGACAAAAACATTCTTAATATATGGCATAAAACAAGAGTATTCTAAGCCCAAACTATGTGAAAAATTAATCGGTATGTTTCATCTATTTCCACAATAAAAGTTAATTTCAATATAATAAAAATATAAATTATAACAAAAAAGTAGTTACCTACCAGTCTTGGTTAACTGACAAAATGTCACATACAACATTGAGACTCACATTCAAAAAAATAGATAAACTAAATTAATAGAGCTGATATATCACAAGAGGATCAAATGGAATAAATATATTCTCTATATCACAGTATTTCAAATTTAAATACTTATAAAATAAATGCACATGAGCAGATTTATACTTTAAGAGTTTTATCAGAGCATTCACTGAGTAGCAGTGACTGAGCAGCAGTGACTGGAATACTGCCGAAGGCGTGGGATGAGCTCAGGTCTTCAGGTTCCTGATAGAGCATTTTATGATCACTAAGATTTCTTACTGCGTGATCAAGTTACATGTGGCACATGGTAAAAGTGTCCTATCCTCTGTTTCTCTCTTTCTCTTCTACCTCCTCCACTTTGTTTGGTATGACCTGTATTTTCATTACTTTACTGTCAATGGCATAGTCTTTAGCACATGTAAAGGATGCGTCCAATGTCCAGTCCATCCCACCATGTCACCCTTAACTTCTTTTCCATCCCAACAAATCTGAAGGTATAAACTGTCAATGAAAACGTGATCTTGAAAAATTATCCTAGGAATATGACGACTACGAATGAAAATTTTATTTATTCCAGGTTTAATATTCCATGTAAAAAGTGAACCATAAAAAGAGAGAACCCCTCACCACCACAATGAGACCCTAAAAAGTAGTAAGTGAATAGGAGAGAGTTGAAGTAGAATGATTAGAAAAAATAGTTAAGTGGACTGTTTGTGACAAAAACAGAATAATATCACCCTACAACTATTGCCTTGTCCATAGAATTCTCAATGAATGTTACTGTAATATCTTGATTTTCCTCAACATATTATTACCCCTGTTTAATATAGTAGATCAGACATACTTAATTGCTCCAATCTATGCCTACCTAGAAAAGGGGGCAAACTAGTAGTTAAATATCTTTTATGAAACAAAAATATCGGGATTTATAATTATTAATATGTATTTTTATAAAATAATTTAAACTTATGAACATCTATTTTAAGCCTATTAAGCTATCTTGTCTTCAATAACTTGATGAATTATATATAAACTTATGTTTTGTTTATCTTATCTGAGATGTAAACCCATAATAGGCTTAAAATACTTAGGAAAATAATGCTTCAAAGTTTCTCAAGCAGAAACACAAATGTGCAGTATTGCAACCACTCACTTTTCTAATACACATTTAAAAGCCTCTTTGTACTCATCCCAGGAAAGAAAGCATAGGAATTGATTGAAGTATTAGACCTTAACGTTTTCTGACCATTAAATTGGTTTTCAGGGGCTTGCTTTCTAGTCGCACAAATAAAGTCTACTCAGTAAACAATTTAAATTCATTTCATGGTGATGCTTCTTCTATTATGTATGACCTTCCTCCGGCCCATCTGTGAAAAGTTGTCTTAAAACTAGAGTCTAAAATATTCATATAAGCAATTAATACCTTTAACTACACAGTATCTTCTCATTATAGTCATAGACTATTTCTAGGTTTTAAAAAGCATTTCTTATATGAGGCCAAACAATAAAATTCTTTTTCACATATAGTGAAGTTAAGAGTTGTTCAGTGAAACTTTCTATTGAGAATTGTGTATCACAAAGAACATACTATTGATAAAGTCTTCTTAATGAGATTACAGAATGCGATCTTACTTATTCATTTCAGGAAGCCAGTATATCAAAATCTAAAATTAAAGTATAAAATATTATGGTACATAATTTTTATCATACTATAAAAGCATTGCTAAAAATTCCATGTTTTAACATATGTGATTTAATAATATTCTCCTAAAAACATTTTAGGAGAATATCCCTAGTTTAAAAAAAAGAAAAAACTTTATTAAATAAAAAAGCTTAGAATAATGGTTAATAATGAATTTATTGGTTATTTTGTTACTATAATGTGACAAAAGGAAGCATATATACATTTCCTGTCTACACTAATTAAGGTAGGGCATCACTGTCAAACACTTTTCTCATGTATATCTTTCTAAATAAAGTAATTTTTTGTAATTATACTACCAACATTTATTACCAACATTTATTAACTTCAATTGAGTATAAGTCAATAAATTTAATCAACTAAAATTAATATTGGAATAATTGTGAGATTGTCAAAATGGAATTCAGTCAGATTAGAGGAAAATTTTTATTATATTCTTAGCCAAAAAAGAGAAGGGTATACCCATGTCCAAAGAAAATACCTTCTTAATTTAACAAGCAATTACCTAAACACTAAAGCATGAAATTTTATGGGCCTCATTATTATCTTTATTTCCACAGTGTTTGTTTCTGAAGTCATTAAATTAAAAGGGTCTTCAGAAAAACTGGGCATTCTGTTACCTGTTACACAAGTGAATTTTGCTTTTGTTTTCCTGGGTTATACTTTTATTTTCATAAGAATTTTGTATGTAAAATTAAGGGCCCCTAAATAAAGTACCTAAGTTTTCCTCAATATGAACTACCATTTAATATTTTATCATTTTTGTCCTGTAGAAGTTAAATTATTTCATTATTTTTAAAATAGTACTTCTAATTATTAATACCAGCTAGTATTATTTTCAACCAAATTTTTAGGATTCTCAATAAATCTCTTCTGGGGTGCATTATAGTGTTCATGAATGTAAAAGCCTGGCAAAGGAAGATAACACTCTAAATGGGGCAAGACTTACCTTAATGGAAAGGTGTTTAAATTCCCATCATTTAAGAAAAATAATGCCTACTAAAAAGGAATGCTATGAAGGGGACAAAAATCATCAATTAACTACTTTAAAAATTATTAAAGTTAACTAAAGACCATAAATGTTAATAGCACACTTTCGTTTAAGCTCTTCCTATTTGCCAGGCATAACTATAGGGCTATGCTAAGCACAAAACTGACCCAATTTATATTCTATGCAGCTCACAAGATAACCATAAAATATACACATTAAATAATTAGATACAGAAGGCATAAATTTCTAGCTACTTCAAAAATATATAGAATGAAATTAAAGATAACCTAAATAAACAGAGATACCATGTAAATAGATTAGAAGACTAAAACTTATGAGGATTATCAATTATTCACAAGTGTATACATATCTAAAATGTATATATACACTGACATATTTGCCCCAGATTGTTATATATTCAACTCAAATTCAATCCAAATCCTGTTCATGTCTTTCTACAGAAATTGATAAAACTGACTATCAATTTCTATGGCAATAGAAAGAAACTAAAATAGCCGAGTGTTCTTGAAAGGGAAAAAGAACTGGTCTAATAGTGCACACACAACAGGATGAAGGAAACCACCCAAATGAGAATACCTACAGTGTTTATGAGATAAGAGCTAACATGCTAGGTGAGATAGAAATGAAGATCAAACAAGCAGCTCCTGGTAAATAAACAATAATTTCTTACCGACCTCAAACAAGGTGAATGGTGTGGCATATCAACCTCAAAAGATGCTATAACTCTAAGATAAGTTTTTAGTCTTGATTTAAGCAACAATTCTCTTCAAGTGTATGATAGGTCACTTAAATCCTAGACTCTGCATTTAAAACAGCAGTTCGTCTATATTTGAATAGAAAGCATACTTCTATTTTCATTTTCTAAGCAATAATAGCAAATTATGTTATTTTTTGCCACTACCTAGTATACAATAAACTTTAACGTTAAATATAACTATATATTTAATAATCACATTTCCCCTTAAAATTATCTATAGAAAATTTTCCAGTTATTTTCCAAACTTTATATTTTAGAAAATAAACTAAATTTGTAGTAAGTATAGGGAAAGCCACTGTTTTAAAATAAAAAATGCATACAACAGATTAGTTAATTCTTGTTTTAGTTATAGCAATTCAAATGATATTTTAGAGTAAAAAAACTCCTCTATCATTTCTTCCTTCAAGCTTCATCATTGTTAAGTTTCAAAATTATTAATGATGTGATGATTTTTAAAAATTGTGGAAGACAGCTTTTAGAGCCATTGATAATAATAGCTGATATTTTCAAAGCACTTTGTGATTTACACAGCTCTTTAATATAGATTGTTTCATTTAATTATCATATCACTCCCTAGGAATTAATAATATTAATTATAATTATTCTTATTTTAACAATAAAAAAACTGAGTTAATAAGTAGTAGAAAAATAGAAGGCAAGGCATTTGAACTTTAAGTTCAGTAGTATTTCTAGAGCAACTTTCTCCTAGAAAAGTATTTAGCTATAGCTATAGGATAGCCCTGGTTTGTTTTTTCTTTTTGAAGATTTATTTATTTATGCATCCAGAACTGAAGTATAGGCCAGACGTTCAGGGGCAGTGAGAAGATTCACCAGAACAGAACAGCAGACTGATTGCTGAGGGCAGCAACAGGCCAGACAGGAGAGATCTGCTGTGCCATATGGGTCACCTCTGGGGCAGGGGATCGAACTCATGCTGGAGTAGTTGTGGCTGCAGCTTCATGGCGCTGTGCTTTAGCCCACTGCACCACCAGGGAGAGGTATCTCTGGTTCTGACTGAACATCCTGAAAACATGATATGATAGAAAACAATACGTATTTGCATCCTGACTCGTTGCATATAAATATTAACTATTAGCATGATATTTAATACCTACACTTATATTTTTAAAAAAAAATAGCTTTGATTCTAAAAAAAGAAAAATCTTAAATTCCATAAAGGAAATCCCATGTTCATCATTAACTACTATTGTGAAAATAACCTTACAAATCATGCTGAAAAACATGATTGCAATTTGTAATAGGCCATATACAGTTTGTGGAAGTTTTTACAAAACCTTATTTTCCACTTTTTGTGAATGCATACAGAATTAGGCAACAGAGACACACCTTGTCAAAGGGGCTGTGAAATCACAACATGCTATCTATTCATTCAACAAAACTGGACAAATACCGTTGGTCAAGCAGCTTCCTGAAAATTTCTCATGAAAGTAGATTATAGCAAATATATGATTTTCCTTTTCTAAATTCTGTTAAAATTTAAACTATATCAAATGAGGTAGAGTTGAGAGATAACTGTAAGACACTGAAACTAGAACTACACCTACATCTGAAGAGATAAGTTACTCTCTCTGAATCAAATACAGTGCTGTATAACAATATTACCTAAATAAGATAATTTATATTAAAAGAAAGAGACTAAGACTATATTTCAGTAAACTAACAATTTTCATAAAATTTTAGTAATGTGATTTTAGTAACAAATAAGAGGCAGATTTTATTTGAGTGATACCTATTTTAATTGGCTTACTTTAACAGTAAGTTAAAAACCCATACGGGTAGTAGTTTACATGGTTTTAATGATAATTTAAAATATAGTATTCAAAAAAAAAACATTAATCAATGGTGAGTGCCTAATGTCACTTGAGCAAAAACTGATTGTGCAAAGAGCCTGTATCTATTCAAAAGAAAATCAGCAAATTCAAAAAATTCAAAGGAGACCAGGAGCTGACATGGTGTGTCAGACAACACTCCAAAAGGTTTACTGTGTCCAAGCCCCAGGGCAGCCATTAGGTATCTAGACAAAGTCACAATGAGCCTCAAGGCCCACAGCACAAACCGTTCTGAGGAATTAACTCAGAACAGAGAACACAGGGTCTAGTGATGTACTATTGTATGGATCGTGATACATTTCTATCTAGAATGCAAAATGCCAAATACTACACACATAGATAATATGAAATTTGTATGACTTGCAAAAACATGTCTATATGCATATAAGTGATTAAATGACCACACAAATTATCTTTTCTATACTAGCATCTTTTGTAAGTAGGAATTTAAATTGCTTTACTTCTGCAATTAAGACCTGTTTGGATTAAACTTTTTAAAAGATTTTAAAATATAATAATGTTATTATATTAGTTCTGCTAATTCAATTTTTACTTTAATATGACTTTTAAGTGGAGAAAGCATCCCTTTAAATGTATTTAATAAGTATTAATGAACTAAGCATGTACTATGTCTTCTCTAGGTATTTAAGCAATGATTTTTCATCTAACCTTGCTTAGATGAATTGACTCACATCAAGTCAACACAAACACATTCACATAGTTGTCTTTGCCAGAATAACACGGTTTATCTAAATTTGTTCACTGAAAATTGCAAGTCTTCCACTAATTTTAAAAAGAAAGACAGATGCACAAATACTAAGCTTCTTACTGTTGTTTCTCCTCTGTGCACAAATTCATGCTCAGAAATTACAAAATAAGAGCTTCCTTTGGGGAATTTTCAAATATTAGGAATACACTAACTCCTTGCTTCCTCTTTCTATAATTGTATTATTTCAGAAATTAGCTTATTCTCACAGAAGATTTCACAAACCATGAAAAGTTATAAAAATGCATAAGGAAATGGATATTATGTAGAAATATAACCATCTATCACGCAACTCCTGAAACCATACTAAGTGAATCAAAGTGTGTGAGTTCTGGTCATCTGTTCAATTAATTTGCCAATGAAGCTTTTCACAATCATAATCTTTAGAATTTAAATATTTCAGTTCTTTGAAATTGAAGTTTTGGTTCATTAGCCTCCATCCACGTTAGCTTCATTCAAACCTTAGTCCAAAATAAACAGAAAAATATGTCATTTAAGAAAATAACATACTCAGCCGCCTGTTTGTAGTTCTTCAAGTCTTTCTTCAAATTTTTGTTCTCATTTTCTAAAAGCATGTTTTGGGTGTAGACATCTGGAACATTCCCAGCATCTCTAACTTCAGTTACTCCTTTCTGTACTAACTCATACCTAGGATAAAATCAAACAAAAAGCTTTATGTTGTTTCTTTCAAATAAAGTGGTCAATTTAATAAACAATTTAAAAAGTTAAATCTTAGGTAAAGTTTATACTAACTCATCACAATGTTACTTCTAAAAAAAAATGTCAACAATGGGGCTATCTTTGGTGGCACAGCGGGTTAAAGCACAGCACAAGAAGCTAAAGCCACTTCACAAGAGTTCAATTCCCACCCCTGAGGGAGGTAATACACATGGCACGGCAGACTTCTACTGATCCACCTGCTGCTCCCCTCAGCAGTGTACTTTTGTCAGTCTGCCTGTTCTGCTCCCCACTCTGTCTCTGGTGAATCTTCTCACTGCCCTGTCACCTCTGGCCTGTACCCCATTTCTGTATGCATAAATAAAATCTTCCCCAAAAACCCTACAAATTTTGCATTTAGATACAAATTCTAGATGAGTTAAGCTTTAACTATCAACATCTTATATTACAAATCCTAGCTTTATTAATATATAATACCTTAATAGCTATGTCCTATGTGATATACCTTCTCTGATATAAAAAAAGATAACCTTTGTAGCATATGCAAGTTAAGATAATGGAATCAATATTAAGAATTTTTTTTAAAGATTTATTTATTTATTCATACAAAACTGGGGTACAGGCCAGAGATGCGGAGAGAATTCACCAGGGTCAGAGTGGGGAGCAGTACAGGCAGATCGACGAAGTACACTGCTGAGGGAAGCAACGGGCGGGTCAGGAGAGGTCTGCCACGCCACGTGGTCACCTCCGGGGCAGGCACCTCCGAACTCATGCGAAGTGGCTTAAGCTTCTTAGTGCAAGCTTTAACCCACTGCACCACCAGGGAGGGCCAATATTAAGAAATATTTAGCACAATTTATAAAACACCAAATAGATAACCATTTAGTCATAATTCATTATCCATACTTAGAGAGTGACTCATACTTCTCTCAGAAGATAAAAGTAGTGATTGAAGATTGAAATGTTAGCTTTCAAGATGATGCAGTGGAAGAAAGGAGATAACACAAACACTAGTGGACGTGTTTAAAGTGAACATATTTTCATTTTAACTCCTTTAATCTTGCGCTCATGAAAACCATTATTGTCTTCAGAGTACTTTCAAAATGTAGGTAAATATATTATTAACAAAACCTACAGTGGAGAGATCTTGAATTTATAGAAAAAATTCCAACTATATTCACATATATATGTGCATATAAAAACATATACATATATATAGCCTTTATTTGTAAACTGACAAAAATAAATATTTTAGAATTTTCAAGAAAAAAAAACACTTTGCAGGTCATATGGTCTGCATTTGTGACTACCTTTGCTATTACAATATAAAAGCAATCTTTGAGAATGCTAAGAGAAAGGTCATGGCTATGTTCCAAAATAATTTTATTTACAATGAAAGCAGGAGACAGATTTTAGCTTGAGGCTCTGCTGACCCAGAATTTAAAGGATGTATTGCAATTCTTGTTTGAGGATTAAAAAAAAACACCAGTTGAATTTTGTTGCCCAAGTTTTTTTGCTTAAGGTGGGGGGGGGGTGGAGAAAGAGGTTGTCTGGTTCTGTTTGTTTAAAAATTAAGAATGAAGAAAGCTTGTTTTGTGACATTTTCTCAAAATAAATGAAGTCATAGAAATTATATATGTGCTTTTCTCCATAATATAAATTAGATAAATTATAGATTTAATATTCCTATCATCCTACCACATATAAAAGGTAAAGACTTCTGATTAAAGTCAAAAATAGTTCTTTTGAAATAAAAATATCCAATACAGTATAATCTTATTACAACTGAGGCTGCAATAAGGATAAAATTATTTGAACCACAGTATTACTAAGCCCATGTAATAAATAATTTATACAAATTTTATTTAAGTTATAATACTATACTAAATGGTAAATTTAGTTAGAATCCTACAAATCCTAACACTACTGCAGTTTCCTGATGTTTTGTTTCAATTAAAATTGCTAAATCTTGGACTCCATGAAAGAATTTACTCGTTTTCTTTCTTATTAAGGATACAAAGGAGGTCCTGACAGGGGAGGTAGATGGAGGGTGAGTAGAAAAGGTTCTCTACAGAGGAGCAAAAATGTGAACCCAATATTCAGATTAAAACTATATTTTAAAAAAATAACAGAAAACCTAAAACAATGTGACGAAAAGGAAAAAAAAGTAAAAAGATGAGCAATTGTTAAGCATCTACAAGGTTCTAGATTTCTAGAAGGGGAATCATTTCACACTTTAGACAGGTCAAACATGTAAGCACTACAGGACTAAAATATATTCTTTTTTTTTTTTTAAGATTTATTTATTTGTGCATACAGAACTGGGGTATAGACCAGAGGTGCAGGGACAGTGAGAGGCTTCACCATAGACAGAGTGGGGAGCAGAACAGGCAGATCATCGGAGAGCAGCAGGCAAGTCAGGAGAGGTCTGCCATGCCATGTGGTCACCTCCCGGGCAGGCGAGGATCGAACTCATGGTGAAGTGGCTTTTAGCTTCTTAGTGCTGTGCTTTAACCCACTGCACCACCAGGAAGGGCCCCTAACATATATTCTTAAAAAGAAAAAAGGTATGTGAAACACATGAATCTTCCATTTTATTGAGATTGTAAATTAATCACCTTTTTGTGTTTATGAAAGTATATTTTACAATGTATTCATAATTATTCCTCAAAGACCTTTTCATAAAAATCATTAACACAATTTCCAGACTTAATAGAAACAGTAATATGTTTTACTTTCAAACTTTTTCTTTTTCCTAAACTACATCAATGAAAAAAAGGCTCAGGCTCTCCCCATTAAATTTATGAACTTAGGCATATCATTTAATATAATGAAACTGATTTCTCCCAGGTATATGATTTCAACAGATGAGAATTTTTTTAAAAAGCATAAAATAAAAATTACATTATTGAAGTAGTAGAAATTATAAACTGCCCCATACTTAAAATTAGAATATAACACATAAACACTATAGATGTCTTTCTCTATCATATAAATAATTAGCTACATAATATGCAGTGGATTTTAAAGATCAAGCATATTTACACATCCACAAACATATTTACTTGTTATATTTCTTTAAGGAATATTAATGTTAATGTAGCTGATGCTATTACTAAGAAGTATACAAAGGACTAAAAGCATGCTTGCAGATTTTCCCAGCCAACGAGATAATAAAATTTCAATCATAACAAGATAAACTGGTACTTAGGTATCATTTGAAAATAGAATCCCACTTACTATTATATAAAAGAATTATTTACTGAAAGAAATCAATTAGCCATGTGAGTGAAGAAAGGCAGGTCATTCTATTATAAGCAAAACAATCAAAGGAATATAGTAGGATGTCTAAAATGGAAAATAATCCCTTTAATATTTATGCAAAATATATAAGGAAATTGTTTCACAAAAAAAACTTAATATTATAAAATCTAAGGGAAAATGTCTATTTTCTTGATTTTTATTTTTGTATATGTGTATATCTTTGTGAGTGTTGTCTGTGATTTCAGTGACAGGAAAGGAAACTGTTATTGTATATTTCACCTAGTTTGCATAAGCTGA